CATCATCATTTAACCGTCGTCTATATCCAATTCCCATTCCTTGCGTCATAGGAGAAGGGGAATATAATTAGACCTACGATAGTGTGACTTATGAAGCGCAATGCGGTGTGTTGTGTACCTTGCTGCACGGGCGTGGCGCGGCGCGGGCCGCCGGGCGAGGGCGGCGAGAGGCGCGGGTTGGAGTCGAGGCGGCTCTCCAGCCAGTCGTTCTTGACGGGCGGCGGCACGGGCGTGCTCACCGTCGCCATCGACACGTCGCCGATGATGCGCAGCGCCTCCTTGCACGCGTGGTACATGCGCAGCATCTCCTCGCGCTTCTGCGCCTCCTCCGGCGACTCCTCCATCATTTGCGACTGCACACATACAATATTAGCAGACGCCATCCATACAAACATTTGTATCAATATGCGAACAAACCTTATTAAAATCACTTTTCAAAACAGCGTTTTTCTCCACTTAAAAGGTCGTCTATAGCCCATTGAGCGGTTGAAAACGCATGACTTTATTCTTAAGTACAAGAGACATACAGCCAAGTTCTAAAACGAATCTAAAATACTTCGCTTCACAGGCGCCGCTTACAATATGATAAACGTCAAAATTATAAAGGTATTTGGAATTTAAGCGGGGCCTTATAAAATGCTATAATAATAAAATACATGCGAAAGTTTAGATAGATGGATGTTTGTTAGAGTTTGTAGCCTAAACTGCTCCTGCTAAGGTCGGATCTCGATAAAATTTTGCATAGATGTATCGGATAGTCTAGAACACATAAATTTACTTTTTTTAAATTCCTAGCGGACGTAGTCGCTATAACTAGTACAATATAAATGTCGTTCCAATATTCGGCCTACAGTAACTGGGTGAAGCAGTACCTGGTCTCCGGAGGCGTAGAGGTGTGCGAGCAGCTCTCCGTTGATGAAGTCCTTGGCGTTGTTGATGATCATCATCATGATGGTCTTGGGCACGAGGTCGCGCGTGGTCTTGGTGACGATGCGCATGTACGAGTCCACCAGGTTGCGGATGGTCTCCACCTGCCGCTCCAGCTGCGGGTCCATGCTGCTGGAGCCCGCGCTGTCCGAGTTCTGGAAATACCATAGTCTGACATTAATATCACAGTAGAAAAAATCTGATAAATATGTTTACATAGTTATTTTGTATAGTTTTAGTACGTTATGTTTGTATTGGTACTGTCTCTTGTGTTAATTTGATTTTTATTGTGATCCAGATTCCAGTGTCTGAGGCTTTTTTATAAATTCCCAACCTCTGTCCGTTTATTGTGATGTAACTGAAGTCATGAGCAATCTATACAATAAATTTATTTCCCGGGCCAATTCGGTTCTTTACTCTTTGTAGTAAAACGGCTTTATATCCAGTATGTGTTGTCTGTATATTATTATTTGTATAGTATCATAGCATCCTCTATAAAAAAAACATTTCTACATTTTGTTTACAACTAGATGTCGACCACAGAGTTATTTAACTAATTTTCACTATAAACAATAAAGACCTTCACCATAAACAAGTCGATGTCTAGTTGTTCACTTGCACTCAGAACTAATACTTTTAACAATCTATAGTTGAATTTGCACATGTTAAAGCATTATGAAACACAATTATTAAAAAATTAATTTAAAAAAATGTTAAAAAAAATTAATAACCTAATCCCTGACTTATTGCCGTGCTCAAATATACTAGGTTTAATAATTACATTTCACTTTACGACTTCATTATTATATTATTAAATAGTTTATTGAATATTTCTATATTTTTCGATAAAATCAAAATAGTACAATTGAGCAGTACAAGTAGTTGATATTAATTTTCAATGTTATGTTATGTTTTGTTGTGTTAATTTTACTCACCACAATCCAGATATGCAACAACTCTAAAAGTGCTAAAAGACTCGACCACAACCAAAATGTTATATGAGCCGGAATGAATAAAACTTTATAAAGCTTTTTACAATCTCTACAATAAAACAGTAAGAGATATAGCCAATTAAATAAATTGCTCATGCAATTTAATGTATTGTGCGATTAGCTTAGATTTAATCAAAAGATAAAACCCCCTAGGCATTTCTCAAATCCGGCAAACAAGCTCTGAAATACTAATCACTTACTTTCTTACTGTCAGCCGACCCAAGAGGTAGAAATAACTAAAAAAAATAATAAAAAGTAAAAACATAAAAGTGGAAACAAAATTTGAAAAAAATATACAAATTCCTGCTCATACAAGATTTTAACTTACATTAAAATGTTAGCGTGCATTGAGTGTAAAAGTGCCACATTAATGACATATGTATAGTTAGCGCCTGCGAACAAGCTATGATACATGTATTTCAAGAGACCCCAAACGCTTCTTTCAACAGCTCTATCAAATTTACACAACTCTTGAAATTCATTATAAGCGAAACTCAACAATAACATTGTAACTAAATGACTCCGAATTGATTTAAAAAGCCTACAATGACAAACCTCTGTTCCTTCGCCCTGTAGCATGACAGAACAACACATTAATTTAAAAACATAACGGAGGCATTAACACTTTATATACATGTTGTTACACACAATTATACTTATTATAATAAATGCTAATCAAGATAAGGTATAGATATAGTTGATAGAGGCGTTTTTAGAAGAGAATAAAATATATAGTAATATTAGAAATAGGAAAAAAAGGAAGCAGAAATAAGCCCATAGTGTGAATAGATAATATCTTACCTCATCTCCGTTGGCTGCTTCGGAGGTCTTCTCCGGATAGACTCCTGCACGAAGGAAAGACGCCTTCCAGGAGTCCACGTCGTCCTGAGTCTCACACGACAACTCCAGCTGCTTGTAGTCCTGATATAACACTCTTATTCATTAACTGTCATAACTATTAAATAAACTAAATTTTGTAAAAAAAAAGTAGCATATATGTTTTTCCGGACTATGTTCTTTATTAATCCATTTTACGCAGTGATTCTTATTACTCGTAGAACCTCTGTATCGATAAATCTTATCTGGTTTCGAACTGTGAATCTTTAGAAGGCCATAGCAACACCCAATACAGACCCAATTGACTTTGCCTGAGAGGACTGGAGATACATAGTAACAAACAAACATTCATCCATCCATCTATCATCCATAAACTTTGACATTTATAAAGCTAACAAGTAGTAAAATCTATACACTATACTAATATAATGTCAGCAATTACAGCATATTTTTGAATAATTATTTCTTTAATAAAAAGCCCTACACTTACGTCACGCTTTAGGCTATATATTTTCACGCCATTAAACCATACCAGACCATAAGTTGCTGCCAACATCAAGAAAGTAAGACCGCCAAGATTTGTCATGGCATTTTATTTTACATTTTCTATTGATAATTTGACAAATGTAAACAATAAAATAATAATTTCATAATTCCATGCGGATGAAGGCGGACAGGAACAGCTAGTGTGTTATGTAAAGATTTAGAAATGTTAATATTTCATGTATGGTACTCGTACCTTATATACGTTCCTGCCCTCAGGGTTGAACAAGGCGAACATGTGGCGACGCGACATGAAGCCCTGCTCGAGGTCGCGCAGCTTGAGCCCGTCCAGCGGCAGCATGTACTTCTTCTCGCGCTCCTCCTCGTCCTTGTACCACGAGATGCTCTCCGACGTCAGCACGAACCAGTAGTCGCGAGACCCGCCTGCAAACATATCTGCTACTTACCACGAATATTGGTAAGAACCATTTCGTAAGTGATCGACAAAATTCCACACAAATTTTTGTTAATTTATGAATACACTAACTTTCGCATGCGACTCCGTCCGCGTGAAGCCTATGTGTTCTTCCAGACTATGTCCTACATCTATGTCAAATTTCATCGAAATCCGTTCAGCCGTTTAGGCTACAAACTAACAAACATCCATCCATCCAAACTTTTGCAGTACTAACATATTTGTAAGATTATCGCAATTGTCAGGCATATATAAAGTTTGTATATCATAACACTTTCGGAGGTCTACAATACCAAATAAAAATTAAGAAAAACAGTTAGTTGAATGAAATAATATAACTCGTAATTGATCAGGTCGTTCAGGTCATTGATTTTGTTTAGATAAATGTTAATAAAAATATTTACATTTATATCAGATAAAAAATTTAAACTCAAATTTTCTTATCGCAATATATCTTTTGTTATCAGTGGTTCACCTGAGATAGTACAACCAAACATTAAGAAAAACAATGCGTTCAAGTAATAAAATGTGTACCTTTCATAATTCCGAGGTTGTGGATGCACATGTAGCCCTTCCTTATCACCTGGTTGCCAAGTGTGCGGTGACCAGATTTCACTGCATTCTCAGACTGATTCTGAGCACTGCAACAAATTACATACATTATGTTTAAAGGTAATTTTTTAAAAGTCTACAGCGTCTATAGAATCTATTTGGTCATATTTTTGATGAGATAGGGGTTATTTTATTTTAAATACTAGTTGTCGCCCATGATCATTCGCGCGGGATTTAAAAAACTTTTAGTAGCCTGTGATCCAGACTATATTCTACATCTATGCAAAAAATTCAGAAAAATTCTTTCTGGAGATAGCTGGTAACAAACATCTATCTATCCATCAATCTAAACTTCGACATTTTTAATATTAGGAACAAGTAAGATTATTAGATTTATGTCATTTAAGTAAACTATATTTTAACGATTACAGGTAAGTCGAACGACAAGTCTACCCTAGTTTCGGTTCAATACAACAGTGGAATATCGGGTTTGGAATGTATGTACTAAATCGGTAATCCCGTACTTTTAACATCATCATCATCATCATCTCCCCTGCCTTATCCTACTCCCGTAGGGTAGGCGCACCGGCTTTTCGTCCTCCAAAGCACTCTAGGATCCCGTACTTTTAACAATAAAGCTATTTGTTCCCATACTTGGCGAATCCTATAAAGTCTTCATGGTTGGTGTTCATGTAGGCGAGCTCGCAGTCGACGAGCAGCACCAGCTGGTCCTTGCACTGCTGCTCGCGAGACCGCACGTGCGACATGATGATGCGCTCCGTCTCCTCGCGCAGCCGCGGGTAGCGCGACATCTGGACACAAGTATACCTTCAATATATCTCAATATTGACTCTATGATCACTAAGCAGCAAGAGATAAGTTTTTTTTTTTTTTTAAATTAGGACTGAAAGTAATATTCGGTTATAAAAGCGATCGACCTAAACTTTGACTATATATAAAACTTGGTGTTGTTTTTAGTTAATTTTCGGCAGTAATCGATATTCGATCAAAAAAGAGATTTGAAAATTGTCTGTATGATGATCAGCAAGTGACAAGAGCTGGTATTTTTTTTAAATTACGGCCGAAATTAATATTCGATTATAAACGAGATCGATCTAAACATTGATTGTAATAATCACTATTCGATTATATAAGAGATCTGAAATTTGACTATATGATGAGCACTAGCGATAAGAGCTTGGCTTTTTTATGTTTTACTATCTGGAGACAAATGTCGAAGCATAAAAATTAAACCAAAACATTACATGACCTTGTGTTTCATAAAACTTTTTAATTTCCGCGTTAGTGTTGAAACTCACCCTTTCAGTGCAAACACGAACAACATTGGAGAGTTCCTGCACGACGAGATCGACGCACTTGAGGCAGGGCTCCTTTAGCCGGGAGATCTGCTTCTTCACGATGGCTTCGAACGCCATGTCCGGCGTGAACAGACCCACCTACAAACACCAATAAATAGTTACATGCATTTTTCAATATGAAATATCTTAACTAAATAAGCGCCAATAGCCGGTTAAGGATCTCCGATCACGTGGTCGAGGGTTCAAATCCCATCATTCAATTATTGTAGTAAACTATTCCAAGCACTAGCCTAAGGCTTAGTTTGAATTGTTACAGGAAATATTATTAAATGAACAAATATCTGCTTATATTAAAATAATAATAATTTTTAGGACCTTAATATTGTTAAGAAGAAAATTAGAATTGGCGCAACACTAGATTATCGGCGTAAACGTTACGTCCCTACCTGACAGCTGTCAATGTCATTAGAAGGATTGGGATATTCGCGCGCATTCCTGGCGAGTTTTTAGTCGAGTATTTTAATTAATATCGCTAGGTACAATTATATTCATTGTTTAAAAATATATGGCACATGTAGTCTGGATTCTTAGCAACGATGACATCATCTCTGAGAGATATCAGTGGGCCAAAATATTTAGCCTAAAAACCTGAACTAAATAGAAAAATGAAAATATACAAGTATAAATTCTAAATACATACCCTAATACCGTGTATATTTCTGATAGCGAATGCTATCTCTCGCCGAAGCTCTTTCTCGTCGATCTCCATTTTGACGATCTCGAATGGGAACCGCTCGTGGAAGAGGCGATTGATCTTAGCTCCGCCGGACAACTCGTTGGTATTGATCTGCGCTGATCCAGAACCTTCGATAGTCTTCTCGAACTCCGTCTGGAGTTGCTGGATCATTCTGGAAATAGACACATATTTTTTGGTCTCGTACTATTTTAACCTGAAGAAACATGATTGATTTGTAAGTCTAGTAAATTTGCTTTTTGTCGGATAAATTATAATATAACAAAACATAAATAACATAATAAAATATTAAAAATGCAGGGAATGAAAGTACATGTAGTTAAGGAATGTTAACAATAGGAAAATCACATCATCGTGATAATCATTGCACAGGAATTAATCTATTGTTTAAAAATGTTTGACCATTGAGTTCATCCACACATACCATATCAACATCCTCATATTCAAGTAAATACATAAATTATAGTAAACAAATCAATTATAAACAAGTTTTTTAAACGTAATTAAAAAAAGACATACACTAAATTGTAAGGGAAACTAAATATAACATTTATAAGAAAATACGATAAGGACATATGAGTTATAGAAATGTTAAGGCCGAATACTGAAACGAAATTTAAATACAAATTCATAAATGATAAAGCCACGATTAAAATCGACGTCTAACAGATTGTAAGAGATTACAAAGAGAACTATTTAAGAATTGTTTCAGTATTCTGCCATAGCTTAATAGGTTTAATTGCGTAAAAGAAAAGTCTTACAAATAAAGTGGAAAAGGAACCATGTATTACAGATTACGAATCTATAAAGGTTATGTGACTTACTGCAGCATAGCCTTGGTCTTGATGGATGGGTCATCAGGCCTGAAGTGCTTGTACTGGTCGACGTCCTTCTCCAGCGCGAGGAGTTGCTTCTGCAGCTTGTCGCGCAGGCCGGGCAGCGTGTCGCGGATGTGGTTGGTGAGCTGCTGGTTCAGCACGCGCTGCAGGTACGGCGTGCCCAGCCGGTCCGCGATGTGACGGTACGACGGGTGACTGCACATACATCATCAGCACTATACTTCCCCATTCAGAAGTTCGGAGCCTAAGGGTATAAACGTTACCCCCTGCGCATTGACTTCACATATATCTATGTATGTATGACGTAATCCTTCACATTAAGAACATCGGGAAAATGTACATGTGAAAGTTAAAATTGAAAAACATATCGGTACATGGTCGGTATCAAAGCAAATACTTGCAGATTACAAACCAGAGACTCCCCTGAACCCATAATTTAAACTAGTAATTTCTTTTGACTTTTGTTACTTTATGTGTGTAGAATTTGCAATATGAACGGCTGAACGAATTTGGATGAAATTCGGCATAGAATAGGCTGCAAGAACCTATAGGCTACTTACTTTTGTTTATTTAATATCACGCGGACGAAGTTGCGG